GACTCCCAAATCCCTCCTCTCTGTGGTGGGAGAGTCAGCAATACATGATGTACTGGTCCCTGTGACAATTATCCAACAGTTGGTGACACCGAAATCCACCAGCCACTTTTTGCTCACAGCAAAACATTAGGTCCTTCAAAAACCTCCCTCTGCTTTTATGTGACTGGGTGTTTCAGTGGAGCCAACATCAACACCATCCACTTTTCCATGTCATTTGTTGCTGGGACTCCACTAATGACCTCCCTCTGCGGGGCAGATTATTTATTCCTACTCTCACTTCCCAGCTTTTAATATGTTTCAGTCCCTAACAGAAGCTGGCCGTTAATTTGGGGACAGCTCGTGTCCCCTGCCAGCCTCGCCAGTGCTCTTCTGCAAGCTGGGTTGTCCTCTGTCAACCAGGACTCTTCACCCACCTCTTCCAAAGACGCCAACAAATTTGCAAAATGCAATTCCCCACCTTGTAAATGTCAGTTCTTGTCCAAATGGTGGGTACTCGGCTCTCTGCCGAGTCTGTAATGGTCTCTGTGAATCTGCCTGCGCTGGTGAAGGATTCACCTTCCTGCACTTAAAAACCCCTGTCACAATTCCTACCTTCCCTTCCTCTGATACCGCATTCATTTGAAGCAGTAGTTAACGAACAGCAGTTAATAAACCAAGCAATTTCATATCTGAGTTCCTCTGGCACTCCAGGGTGAATACCATCTGGGCCTGACATTTTCTACATGTTCCTTTTTTATTGATTTGTTCTAAAAAATCTCTTCTACTGGCATTTCAATTTGAAAGAGTTGGGCTGACTCACGTCCTGTGGCAGAGATTTCATTGTGGAGCCTCCGCGCTCCTCCGCAGCCAGAGGAACGGGCTGAGCTTTGCTGCTGTGGTGGTTTTCATTCCAGAGCTGGGCGTTCTTTCTGCTCGTGCTCTGATGGAGATCCACGCTGCCTCTCCCCGCTCACCTTCCTGCCCTTTTATTCTGGTAAAGAGCAAAAAAAAGGAAAGGCTGGGTGAAAGGGAGAGCTGTGAGCTTCCTCAGAATTAAAGGTCCTGCAGCCAAGAGCAGGGAGCAAAGAGGTTGCCCAGCTCCACCCCGTGATGTGGGCCACAACAACCCCCTGCAGCGCTACAGGCTGGGGGAAGTGTGGCTGGAGCTGCCTGGAGGAAAGAGACCTGGGGGTTCTAGTTGACAAACGGCTGAATATGAGCCGGCGTGTGCCCAGGGGGGCAAGAAAGCCAATGGCATCCTGGCTTGTATCAAAAATAGTGTGACCAGCAGAAGTAGGGAGGGGATTGTGCCCCTGTACTCAGCACTGGGGAGGCCACACCTCGAGTGTTGTGTCCAGTTTTGGGCACCTCAATCCAAGAGAGATCTGGAGGTGCTGGAGCGAGTGCAGAGGAGGGCAACGGAGCTGGTGAGGGGGCTGGAAAACAAATCGTATGAAGAGCAGCTGAAGGAGCTGGGGCTGTTCAGTGTGAGGAAGAGGAGGCTGAGGGGAGACCTCATCACCCTCTACAACTACTTGAAAGGACACTGTAGAGAGGTTGGTGCTGGGCTCTTCTCACAGGTAATTAGTGACAGAACGAGAGGGAATGGCTTCAAGCTCCAACAGGGGAGGGTTAGATTGAACATTAGGAAGGAATTTTTCACGGAAAGAGTGGTCGGGCATTGGAACAGGCTGCCCAGGGAGGGGGGGGAGTCCCCATCCCTGGCTGTGTTTAAGGGACGTTTAGATGCAGTGCTGAGGGACATGTTGTAGGGGAGGACTTTGTAGAGTAGGGGAGATGGTTGGACTCGATGATCCCAAGGGTCTCTTCCAACCTAGACCATTCTATGATTCTATGTGCACTGGTTCCAGTAAAGGGACTGGTGGAGCTGCTCAGCAGATGTGTCCAGACCCAGACAGGCAGCATCCTACAGAATCCGTGTTATGGCCAGGCATATCCACCAAGTGCCACCTCCTGTGCTTCTTGGATTTGATAGAAAAGAAACCTCAAGCCCTTTTTAACAAATTGCTGGAATTTCACAGCAAACCCCAGCGGTGCACGCTGAGGCCGTGCCGGCGTGGCTTCCTGCCCGGGGACAAAAGAGGCTGCCTGGTCTCTGCGGTGAAAAACAACCTTAACCATGAGCCCAGACCTTCCCGAAAAGGCAACGGAGCCCAGACGACGGAGCTGCCGGGCTCCTTCCTCCTCCTCTCCCAAACACAAACAGAGAAGGGGACTTGCATCCGGAGAGAGGGAGGGAGGAAGGAAGCTCTGCTGGGGCTCTGGAGCGTGGTCACAGCTGGCTGAGGCTCGGCTGGGCTTTTGTGCTGCTCGCAGCAGGGGGGGGAACAGCAGGATAATCCCTCACAGCCACAACCGGGGCCGTTTACACCACAAACATCTCAGCACCGACCATTAACACCTGTCCCCCTCCAGCCAAACACGGCGTTCGCAGCAGCAGACGAAATATAAAACTTTATTCGTTATTAAAAAAAAACAACCCAAATCCCAAACGCCACGAAAATAAGGCAGTAAAGAGTTATTGCTCAAATTAAACATACCTAATCATAAGGTTTCATGGCCACAGGACCATCAGCCTCTGCAGCTTCTCAGCTCTCCTCGCTGCTGCGCTTCGCAAGCGGCAAAATATTCAGGGAATGCTTCTTGCAGACCAAGGAGGAGAGAACAGGGGATGTTCTAGAGCAAAAATGTGGGGTTTCAGCGCGCTTGGGAGAGCTCTTAAGGAACAGCCACTGCGACCCAAAGAAAATACTGAGGCTGCAGAAAGAAATCCTGGAAGTCAAGCAACACAAAAGAATTGGGGGGCTTCAGCTGGAACAAAATCCAAGGGATGTACCTGCCCTTCTCTGCCATCGTAGAATCATAGACTGGTTTGGGTTGGAAGGGACCTTAAAGATCACGAAAAAAATTCAAGGGATGTACCTGCCCTTCTCTGCCATTGTAGAATCATAGGATGGTTTGGGTTGGAAGGGACCTTAAAGATCACTGAGTTGCAACCCCCCTGCCCTGGGCAGGGACACCTCCCGCTAGACCAGGTTTGAATCCCAGCCCCCTCCCCCAGCATCCCACCCCAGAACAGAGCTGTTTTTGAGAGAAAAAGGACCGATTAATTAGCTAATCCCAGCCCTCCCCCCCACCAACATCCCACCCCAGAACAGAGCTGGTTTTGAGAGAAAAAGGACCGATTAATTAGCTGGCTGAGGAAGGAGACTTGTCTCAGTGACGGACTAGCCACTGGGTGAAGACCATGTGTCGCAGGCTGTGGCAGGGTATTGATTATCTTCTGGAGGAATGCAGAATTAGGAATGCAGATTACCTTCTGCGTAAATGCAGGTGTGTGGGGAGCCTCTTTGAGAGGTCACTTCATAAGTCAGAGCCACACAATTATTACACCACCACCAGCTCTTGCCATCTGGTTGGGACTATGGTGGTCTTTGGTGTTTTCCTGGTGGTTCTCGGTGACGCCGTGGCAGTGAAGCCACACGGGGCCGGACGGCGGCGGCTCCGTGCACCGCATCACGGAGTCTTGTTTACCAACCACAAAGCCCTACCTTAAAAAAAGACAAAGAACCCCCCCGTTTCCTTTCCTGCCGTCTGATGAGGAAGCTATTCCAGGCTCCCCCTGCTACGGGGGCCTTCCTTTAATTTCCAGTGTGTGTCTATTCATGGCCAGTTAGTTATAATCACTTTTTCTTTTGCCAACGCTATTTTAAGCATCAAGATTTCCTTTGTCGGTGCTTATCTCATCAAAATAACGACAGGTTGCAGTCAGATCCCCAGCGAGGGTTTGCTTCCTTAGGCTAAGCACCCCCTGCCTCTCGGGGGGTCCGTGGTGTCAGCCTGGACTCGCTCCTCTTCTCATCTCAGTGGCTTCCTCTGCGCTTCTGTCATTCCAGAGCCTCTTTCCTACAGATGGATAATCAGATTTGGAGGTAATACTCCTAATCGGGTCTCTCCAGACCGAGTAACAACACCACGGATACATCTTCGTGCCAACAGGGAACACCTCGACCGACACGTTGTTTGATTTCATTTGCGTGGTTTGGGGCAGAATCACATTATTGGCGCATTAACGAGCCCGCAGCCGCCACCCACACCAGGCTCCCACTGCTCCTCATCTGTTTCCAATTGATGAACAACTACTTTATAGCTCAATTTTTGCTGTTACTAGTCTTCAACCATCCAGCTGTGCGTTTTATAATCCAGAATTTAATTCTGCTTTCTGTTGTTATTGCTTTTGTAATAACCCATTTCTTTTCGGGCTCAATATGCCTGCAAATTCCCACCCGAGAGTGACCCTTCAAGGGAAGTCCACCAGTGACCTCCTTTCTGCCTGATACTTCCCCTTGGAAGCTTTCTGTCGTCTTCTCCCCTTTAGTCAGTCCTAAACCCCAGCTTTCTTTGGCTTTGCTAATGATTTAGTGAAGTGCCACTCGAGGCTGCAATAAATGAGAAAGTGATCGTAAGGGTTATTATGTTAAAAAGAGAAAAAAAAGAAACAACCCAACAGAAAAACCCCGATAGTTTTAAACAGGTTCAAGTTTGTTTGGTTTTTTCAAGCTGCTGGTTTGAATGCTGCTGCTGGCAGCTTCTCTCTAGACCTGTTTTCCTGAAATCAGCTCTGAGAGGACTGATTGTAGTCTCCTCATTCCTCAATTTATTTTTTCCTTTCTCTCTTGCTGTTTTTTCTTTTTTCTCTTCTCCCCCGTGGTCTCGTCTACTCCACGTCTCACCAACAGTTCTTGTTTTCGCTCCCTCCAGAGCTGGCCCTCAAGAGGCTGACGTCTGTTGACCCAACGTGGGTGGCTCGGCTCTCCTTGCCCCTCACCAGCAGCTACAAGGACAATGTCTTCTCCCCCGACTCCCCGCATTCACCTCAGGATGAGGAAGCCACGAGGCAGGAGACACCAAGGACCTTTGAAACCTTCGGCAAAGGTGCTGGGTCTGACTCAAACGCCGCTGGGACGAGACTGGCCAGCACCTTCCTTTCAGAAATGAGCACCCTCTTTGAAATGATTCTGTCCCAGAAGGTCCAAGTCCACAACGAAACAGGCTCGGGGCTTCTGCGGCAGCTGTCGGCGCGTGGGAAGAGCCTGGGGCTGGAAGATGGTGCTCCTGCTCTGTAGGCAGCTTGGCAGCTGTGAGAAGGAGAGAAGAGTCAGGCAGAGCTTCTTTCTGCATTTGGGGTGCACACGTGTGCTTTAACAGGGTCACTCTACCATCCACATCTAGACTGATCACCACAGGCATTTTTCTTCCTTTCCTTCACCCCATCGAATTTCTCCATGACTGATTTCACCTGTTTAGTTCCCTTCTACCTGCCTGTTCTGGCCTCCCCAGCTTTCCTCCTCTTCCACCCTCATCTTTCACCGTACCATCGCACTCACAACAGCAGGGGGGTCCTCTCCTCCCAGGACAGGCCAACTGGGGGGACTGGGAGGTTGTTAAATTAACCAAAAGCACAACACAGTCAACTACATCCACATGAGCATGGACCGTGCACCACGGGTGATAAATTACTGCAGTCATGGACTTTGCAACACACTGCAGAGTTGGGCTCCAGGATCTCAGTTCTTATTTAAATAAAATTGGGTTTTTTTTCTAACGCTACCATCTCTGGAAGAAGGTGCACTATAGGTGGCATAAAGATGTATCTGCAGAGAGCTTGAAATGGTAACTCTAAAAGGGAGGTCTGCCCGTTGTCTCCTAGAATGATACAATATGGGGTTGGAAAGGACCTCTGGAGAGCATTTGGTCCAACTCCCAATCCCACCGATCCTTTCAGCTTTTGAGGTTCTACCCCTGTGAACATGGAATTTTGTAAAACACCCCAAAATCAGCACTTCTGCTCTGGCTGCATGAGGTGCCCACGATTTCCTTCTCCATGCTCTCTTTGGAGGCCACTGGAGTTTGGAGTGTGGTCCTTGCCCAGAAGCAGACAACAGATGGCTGGAGTCTGCCAAAGGTGACCTGGGAAAAGGGAAGCATGAAAACATTCTCACGTTTTGAAAATGTTTTGAAATATTCAGTCACAAACTTCAACCACATCACGGGGTTTTCACTTTGATCTGTACATATATGAGCCATAAGACAGTTTTAGGATAATAGAATGTGTAGGAAAACTAAGATACAGGTATTAGTAACAAAGGAAGAAGCAGATGGGTGGTGTTAATGATGGGGGTTTGTACTCGCAGAGAATGGGAAGACAATGGTGGTGTGACCATCTGGAGTGGCTGTAGCCTACACAGCGGTGTGTGGGTGGCAGGTAAGCACTTCTGGATCGAGTGTACACACAGGACTCTCTCCTGTACCAGCGTTTGCACCTTCCAACTACGATACGAACCACCAGAACAAACCTGGGGCATGGTGGAAAGGAGCAGACGGGTGGTGTTAACGACGGGGGTTTGTACTCGCAGAGAATGGGAAGACAAGGGTGGTGTGACCATCTGGAGTGGCTGTAGCCTACACAGCGGTGTGTGGGTGGCAGGTAAGCACTTCTGGATCCAGTATACACACAGGACTCTCTCCTGTACCAGCGTTTGCACCTTCCAACTACGATACGAACCACCAGAACAAACCTGGGGCATGGTGGGAAAGCGGCTGGAAACCCGCGCTATGGGGCGAGGGTTAGCCATCACCGAGTTGCTCGCCGAGTGACTACGACAGGACCAGAGGAAATGGCCTCAAGTTACACCAGGGGAGGTTCAGGCTGGATATTAGGAAAAATTTTTTCACCAAAAAGGTTCTCAGCCATTGGAATGGGCTGCCCAGGGAGGTGGTTGAGGCACCATCCCTGGAGGTGTTCAAAAGCCGGGTTGATGTAGTGCTGGGAGGTCTGGTTTAGGGACGGGGATGCTTCTTGTTTGTTGTGTGGGTGTTTATTTTTGTCCACGTGAGGTTGACGGTTGGACAAGATGATCTTTAAGGGCCCTTCCAACCTAGAAGATTCTGTGATTCTGTGAAAAGGTGGCTGAGAGGCAACTACCAGCCTCCCCTCTGTCCCAGCGCAAGGCCAGCAGCGCTTCACACACACCGCTTTCGTTACCTTCTCCATCTTTCCCTTAAAAATACCCCACTGCCTTCTCCACAGAGCACAGTTCACAGCTTTCCCCAAAGCTGATTTGCTGTCGCTTCAGGTGTCTTTGGGTGGTATTTTTGACTTTTCACCTTGAAAAGGGAGAGGCAGCACGGCCCAGCAGCGCGTCTCAAGGGCGTCCCACCTGCATTCCTTTCCTGTGCACCTAGAGGTGCCAGGGCCCTGCTTCTAGACCGTACACACACACACCACAGCAGCACACAATCATACGGATAATTCAAAGCAGAGTAAATTATAAAGTCACCCTTTCCTGTTGCTCTTGGGACCGAGCGGCAAAAGCAACAGAGTAAGATTTCCCCAGGAAGACTCTTTAATATTCTAAATATCCGCTGTTGTATCTGCAGTTTCTGAAGTGCTTCAGATGACCCCGTTGTTGGCAATAAACTCCACTGATGGGTTTGCCCCAGCCTGCTTATACTGCCCTGCTGCTCATAGAGATGTCCTGCTGTTTTGTTTCGCAAACAAAACCGGCTCTTGCACCAAAACAATGAGACTGAGCCAAATTCTAACGGAGCTGCAGCTGTGGGAGCCACGAGGGAGGCATCTCTGTGCCCGTGAGGAGAGGCAGCCCCCCGGGACTCCTCTGCGCCTCGGGAGCACACACAGAGGGACAAACACAGCACAACCCCACATCTTCCCCAGGAAAGTCACTTTGATGTGCCTGTCCAAGGACAGCCTTTGCACAAAAATACATTATAAGGTATTTAAAGAACTAAAAAGGAGACAAATTCCTCTCTGGGTTCAATTTCCTGATTCTCCCCCCCAACCCCTACCCCCTGTCCTGTCCTCACCGATGCGTAAGCCCGCTGTGGATTATCACAGAATAGGAAATCCACCCCAGGAATTTCCTGCTAATTGTATCCTGCTTGATAAAGGAAATGGTCTAAGAAAGTCTGGTCCCGGGCAGAAAGAGAGACCAGACTAGAAGAACAATCAGAGGTGTTGAGCTCTGGCTGTGCCCCTCCCTTGCCGAATGGAGACGGCAGCAAGTTCAGGATGGGGCCATTGCCTTTGTTTTTCAGAGCCTGATCTACACAAAGCACACGAGCACCGTGGCTACAGGAAGCTGGAGAGTTTGTGCAGATGCCCTTGAACCAGTATAAACTGGTGTGGACAAATGTCTTTTTCCGGATTCAGCTGCCCCGGTGGAAGAGATGATGGTACCAGCTGCCAGAGAGCGGTTCCTGCCCGCTGGGAGCATCCCTTCTCCACTTCATGGATGTGACAACGAGCTCGTGTGCTCAGCAAACATGTTTGATATAAATTTTGAAGCAAACCTTGCTCACTGCGACTCACAGGGCTGTACCCATGGGGACAGCTCGCTGCTGGAGCTGAAGGAGTAACACCTGGGGGACAAAGGACACAGAGAACAGTGCAGGATGGCTGAGGACAGCTGTTAGCCTCACCAGCACGGGTGGATCCGTAAGCCATATCCCACAGAAATCATCAGGATTCACTCTCTTGCTTGCACAGGTTTGAAAGCAGATTAAAATGCCAGAATGGCAAGACTGTGCTGGTAGCAGAGCCCCTGTGGGAACCACTAGCTTTGAAGTGAGACCAAGTTGCCTCAGAGGGTGCAGGCCAGGCCTATCACAGAGTCAGCTGCCAACATCACCCTATGGTGGCTTGTAAACCTCACTGGGAGACCACGGGCAAGATGTGCAAGGGCTACTGGAATTACAGCCCCAAGTCATAGCACTGTGGCACGGTGGGAGTCTACATGTAGCTCTATGCAGAAATGGAGGAGCATTACAGGCTTGAGAGGTGCCCTCATGAACCTCACGATGTTCAACCAGGCCAAGGGCAAGGTCCTGCTCCTGAACCACAGCAATGCCAGGCACAAACAGGCTGGGTGGAGAATGGATGGAGAGCAGCCCTGAGGAGAAGGACTTAGGGGTGTTGGTGGATGAGAAGCTCAACGTGAGGTGGCAGCCCAGAAAGCCTCCTGCACCCTGGGCTGCATCTCCAGCAGCGTGGCCAGCAGGGCGAGGGGGGAAAATCTGCCCCTCTGCTCCGCTCTGGGGACACCCAAAATCTGCCCCTCTGCTCTGCTCTGGGGACACCCCACCTGGAGCACTGTGTCCAGCTCTGGAGTCCTTAGCACATGAAGGACATGGTCCAGAGGAGGCCATGGAGATGCTGGGAGGGCTGGAGCTCCCCTACTGCGAGGACAGGCTGAGAGTTGGGAGGGTTCAGCCTGGAGAAGAGAAGGCTCCGGGGAGACCTTCGAGCCCCTTCCAGTCCCTCAAGGGGCTCCAGGAGACATGGGGAGGGACTCTCGATCAGGGAAGGGACAGACAGGACTAAGGGGAATGGTTTTAAACTGGGGAGAGGCAGGACTAAGGGGAATGGTTTTAAACTGAAAGAGGGGAGATTTGGATTAGACATCAGGAAATAACTTGTTTGGTGTGAGGGTGGTGAGAGCCTGGCCCAGGTTGCCCCAAGAAGCTGTGGCTGCCCCATCCCTGAAGGGGTTCAAGGCCAGGGTGGAGGGGCAGGACTAAGGGGAATGGTTTTAAACTGAAAGAGGGGAGATTTAGATTAAACATCAGGGAAGAACTTGTTTGGTGTGAGGGTGGTGAGAGCCTGGCCCAGGTTGCCCAGAGAAGCTGTGGCTGCCCCATCCCTGGAGGGGTACAAGGCCAGGTTGGAGGGGGCTTGGAGCAACCTGGTGTGGTGGGAGGTGTCCCTGCCCAGGGCAGGGAGATGGTAACAAAATGATCTTTAATGTCCCTTCCATCCTGAACCATTCTGTGATTCTATAAGAAACATCCTTGTATTGGAAGGCAGAAGGCCAGACGACACGGTAGCATAGGAGATATCACATGGTTTATTCTCAAAACCCCAGTATTTAAAAATGGCTGCTGTTCCATTAACAGAAAGCTTTCTCTTTCCACTCATTGCCAGCCTGTCTCCAGCTTCACACAGACTGAGGAGGAGGGCTGCTTCCCTTCTGCCTGCGTGTTTCACTTACCGACTGCTCTAAAAAGGCTCCAAGCACTGCAGTTCCAGCGGCTTTGCCCTGTTTCCCAGGGCATGGCTCCATCCAGCGCTGCTGAGCACCATCATGTGGAGTCCATCGGCGCTCCAGGAGTGGGGCAGGGCGAGGGCAGGTTGCCTTGGCTGGGTGAAGGCAGATTGTCCTGGCTGGGTGGCACGGAGACCCGCAGACACACGCTCAATAGCCCAGAAACAGGGGCTTGAGGAAGAGGCTCTTATTCCGGAAGGGAAGGGATGCTTTGTTTGCACATCTGAAAGTACATGAAAACATGTCCCTGCCCATGGCAGGGGGGTTGGAGCTCAATGATCTTTGAGGTCCCCTCAAACCCTAACCATTCTATGATTCTATGATATTAGTGACACATCGTGCTATGGGAACGGCTTCTCCACTTCATAGAACCATAGAATTGTCTGGGTTGGAAGGGACCTTTCAGATCATCAAGTCCAACCATCAACCCAACACTGACAAAACCACCACTAACCCATGTCCCTCAGCACCACATCTACCCAGCTTTTAAATACCTCCAGGGATGGGGACTCCACCAATGCCCTGGGGCAGCCTCTTCCAAGGCTTGATAACCCTTTCCATGAAGAATTTTTTTCCCAATCTCCATCCTAAACCTCCCAGGAGCAACTTGAGGCTGTTTCCTCTTGACCCATTGTCTGTTCCTTGGGAGAAGAGCCTGTCCCCCCTTGGCTACACCCTCCTTCCAGGGAGTTGGAGAGAGCCAGAAGGTCTCCCCTCAGCCTCCTTTTCTCCAGGCTGAACACCCCCAGCTCCCTCAGCCTCTCCTCACAAGACTTGTGCTCCAGACCCCTCACCAGCTCCGTTGCCCTTCTCTGGACACGGTCCAGCCCCTCAATATCTTTCCTGGAGTGAGGAGCCCAAAGCTGGACACAGCCCTCGAGGTGGGGTCTCCTCAGTGCCCACTACAGAGGAGTGGTCACTGCTCTAGTCCTACTTCAGCTTGGCTGGAAATAGCTGGTAAGAAGTGGAAAGAATTAAAAAGTAAAAGTGGTCCCTTTGCCGTGGCCCTGTGCTACCTTTCCCCTTGGCCATATGGTCCCTGCTGTCCCGGGGTGACTCCACGACACAGCCCCACACACCTTCCTCCCCCGCTGCCGCCGTACCTTCCTCCTCCTCTTCCAACACTCGCAGCCTCTCCCGGGCCTTCCCGCTCCCCGCGGCAGCTGCCTGTCGGTAGTGTTTCATCGCCTCTGCCAGGTTCTGCTGCACTCCCAGGCCCTTCTCATAGCAAACGCCCACGTGGTACCTGCTTTGGGCATCCTAGCCCCGGGAGAAAGCACAGCAATCAGCCCCACACCAGGGAGAAGTGACGACAGCACATGAAAGGAGGACACAGAGTCTTTAACACCTTCTCAAAAGTTTACCGCTCTATCTTTGGTCACCTTCTTTGAAGTTTACTCCTCTATCCCTCAGAACGGATCTTCAGTAATTGATTCCTTTCTCCAAGCACATAGTGAAGCAGAATTTCTCACCAGCTCTCTCTGACTTCCCTCTTTCTTATCGTTTTCCAATTAAATTCACTGATTTCCCTTTGACATCCAGCTCGGTGTCATGGGAACAAAGGAACTGTCTCCACGGAGCATCCTGACTGTCTCAGGGGTCAGAGCTAAGAGGACTTGGGCAGCGGCGACTGCACCCACATCCTGATCACACCCAAACCCTAAACACGCCCTACTGCGCACAACTCTTGTGAAAATATAACAAATGCCAGAGAGGCACTTGCTGCCAAAGGTCTGAAGGTTCCTCTTGGCAGCATCAGGCCTTCAGCACAACAGCACACCCCCATCTTGCCCACCCCTACCTAATTGTATTCCAGAAGAGATCTCAAGCAGCAGAAATGAAGTCAATCAATAAGTGCTAGAGAAAAAGCACCCCAACGACCCAGACCTAAGTAACTGCTGGGAATGAACCAGAAAGTAGGTCAAATAAGTGCTAGAGAAAAAGCACCCAAACGACTCAGACCCAAGTAACTGCTGGGAATGAACCAGAAAGTAGAGGTGTCACTGCAGATGGGTCTGTGAGGCAAATCCAAACCCGTGACATGTTTACTTTATCTTTGAGATCCAACAGAAGGCAAAGGGTGTCACAGTGAGCAAGAAAGCAAGAAGACGATGGTCCTGAAGGCATCAAAAAGTCAGCAGGGGCTAGTGGTCACCCAGACCTTTGCCAGCAAAAAGGCCAGCGACATAACTTGAAGAGTATGACTGCCAGAAACATCATCTAAACAAGGCTTTGCAAAAAAAAAAAAAAAAAGGAAAAGAGAAAAAAGAAAAAAAGGAAGTAAGTAGCAAGTTTTAATAAAGCCACGTGAAAAGAACATATTGCAAGCGTTGCTGTCTGGGATGTAGCTGGTAGAGGAAAGCGAAGAACTCAATGAGTGGGTGCTTTGCAAAATGTTGCAAGTCGCAGTTTATGACAGCAATAAACTTCTTTAGAGATGAGATAAACATGTTGCAGGATTGGCACTTCAGATGTGACAAGGGACAGGGTTAAATAAGCATGAAGCATTCCACTAGCCATCTCTTGTGTGGTGAACACCTCAAAGACAAGACCATGAGGAGAAGAGATTCCCAAATTAGCATAGCATAGGTGACTGGGATGGACTCCGAAATCTGAAGGTCAGGCTCAGCTCTCCAGCAACACTCTTTAATATGGCTTTTATATTCCAGGGTTGCACATATAAAATGAGGGAGGATAAAAAGTGGCAACCGAAGTAAAACACAGCTCTCTGAAGTGTTGTTCTATCTGGAAGAACACTTGTCTGAGTTCCCTGAGACAACCTGAGGGAGAAACACTGAACCCAGGACTTTTTGTGCCTGTTTTCCCTTTTTTGGAGTCATAACTAAATGGTGCCATCCTTGCTTCACCCATACTCAATATTCTTTTAACCAACTAAACACAGATTCATACTCCAGGGTAACGGGAAAAGAAGATAGTCATGGAGCCCTTCTCCCAGGAGAACACATGGGGTTACCTCCCCGGGAGCCTCAGCACAAGGATGTGCCACCAAGGATGATCCAGCAGGAAGCAGAGATGGGGAAAGATGATCAGGTTCTGAAAATGGTCATGGCTAAAACGTGCAAAACACTGATCTGCTGGGGAGTACCCCTGGGACCTGCAGCTACCTGCTAGATTTTCTGTTGTGAAGGGCTTACACGCGTTCAGTAAATGACAATCATCTCTTTAATGAGATAATTCATTGTTATATTGTGCAGCATACGCACCTGACATCAGGCTGGAAGAAAGGAGTCAGTGATGCAGCTTATGAGAGATCTTTAGCAGATTTGGAGTTAAATACTGTGTCACAATGTCTGAGCTGCTGTGGATAGTCGGGTGCAGTCCCGCCACCGATCTGACAGGGTCTGCAGTCTTAAAAGTGCACGAAAACTGAAGTGGCAAAGTTTGCAAGTGATGCAATGTCATTCGGAGTGATCAAACTTTCTGGAAAAAATGAATTCGAGAAGATCTCCCAAGACTAGGAGTGGGCAACACAATCACAGAGGAAACTTAGTGTTGACAAATGTAAAGTTGTGCCCACAGGAAGAAATTTGTGAGTCACTGTCAGAGTCCCTGAGAGCATCAAGTCACTGCTCAGAGGCAGGCAAAAGGGCAAACAGTATTAGGAATTACTGGAAGGGAAAACAGAATAAAGCAGAGGATCTTATTGTGTTGGATCCCCAGCACACCTCCATCCTCAATCCAGTTTTAGACCAAGCATCTTTTTAGGCCAATGGCATCGTGGGGGGCATCAGGAAGAGTGTGACCAGCGGGTGGAGGGAGGTCATCCTGCCCCTCTGCTCTGCCCTGGGGAGGCCCCAGCTGGAGCACTGGGACCAGTTCTGGGCTCCCCAGTTCCAGAAGGGCAGGGAACTGCTGGAGAGGGGACAGCAGAGGCTACAAAGATGATGAGGGGCCTGGAGCATCTCTCTGATGAGGAAAGGCTGAGGGACTTGGGTCTTTTGAGTCTGCAGAAGAGAAGGCTGAGGGGGCATCTGATCAACACGTCTAAATACTTAAAGGGTGGGTGTCAGGAGGATGGGGCCAGTCTTTTTTCAGTGGTGCCCAGGGACAGGACAAGAGAGAATGGGCACAAACTTGAATGTAAGAAGTTCCATCTAAACATGAGGAGGAATTTCTTCACTTTGAGGGTGGCAGAGCCGTGGCAGAGGCTGCCCAGAGAGGTGGTGGAGTCTCCTTCTCTGGAGACATTCAAACCCACCTGGACACGTTCCTGTGGGACCTGCTCTAGGTGGACCTTTGGCAGGGGGTTGGCCTGGCTGATCTCCAGAGGTCCCTTCCAAACCCATAGCATTCTGTGAATCTGTGATCTTGAAATGGTAAAAGAAGAATTCAAAAAAAATAGAGAGAAGACTGACAAGCAAAATGGAATAGCTTAACTATACGGAGAGACAAACTAGAGTAGCGCTCTGCAGCCTGCAAAAGAAATGACTCAGAGAGGACACACTAAAGGGTGACAGAACCAGAACCATTAGCCAGAAGAAGAGGGAATAGCTATTCATTATTTCCCTTTACACAAAAGCTGTGGGGACTGAAGTTAAAATGAACAAGTTCTTCAGAAAAAAAAACCTAGCTATTACAAGGCGGCCACGAAAACTGAAGTGGCAAAGTTTGCAAGTGATGCAATGTCATTTGGAGTGATCAAACTTTCTGGAAAAAATGAATTCGAGAAGATCTCCCAAGACTAGGAGTGGGCAACACAATCACAGAGGAAACTTAGTGTTGACAAATGTAAAGTTGTGCCCACAGGAAGAAATTTGTGAGTCACTGTCAGAGTCCCTGAGAGCATCAAGTCACTGCTCAGAGGCAGGCAAAAGGGCAAACAGTATGAGGAATTACTGGAAGGGAAAACAGAATAAAGCAGAGGATCTTATTGTGTTGGATCCCCAGCACACCTCCATCCTCAATCCAGTTTTAGACCAAGCATCTTTTTAGGCCAATGGCATCGTGGGGGGCATCAGGAAGAGTGTGACCAGCGGGTGGAGGGAGGTCATCCTGCCCCTCTGCTCTGCCCTGGGGAGGCCCCAGCTGGAGCACTGGGACCAGTTCTGGGCTCCCCAGTTCCAGAAGGACAGGGAACTGCTGGAGAGGGGACAGCAGAGGCTACAAAGATGATGAGGGGCCTGGAGCATCTCTCTGATGAGGAAAGGCTGAGGGACTTGGGTCTTTTGAGTCTGCAGAAGAGAAGGCTGAGGGGGCATCTGATCAACACGTCTAAATACTTAAAGGGTGGGTGTCAGGAGGATGGGGCCAGTCTTTTTTCAGTGGTGCCCAGGGACAGGACAAGAGAGAATGGGCACAAACTTGAATGTAAGAAGTTCCATCTAAACATGAGGAGGAATTTCTTCACTTTGAGGGTGGCAGAGCCCTGGAAGAGGCTGCCCAGAGAGGTGGTGGAGTCTCCTTCTCTGGAGACATTCAAACCCACCTGGACACGTTCCTGTGGGACCTGCTCTAGGTGGACCTTTGGCAGGGGGTTGGCCTGGCTGATCTCCAGAGGTCCCTTCCAAACCCATAGCATTCTGTGAATCTGTGATCTTGAAATGGTAAAAGAAGAATTCAAAAAAAATAGAGAGAAGACTGACAAGCAAAATGGAATAGCTTAACTATACGGAGAGACAAACTAGAGTAGCGCTCTGCAGCCTGCAAAAGAAATGACTCAGAGAGGACACACTAAAGGGTGACAGAACCAGAACCATTAGCCAGAAGAAGAGGGAATAGCTATTCATTATTTCCCTTTACACAAAAGCTGTGGGGACTGAAGTTAAAATGAACAAGTTCTTCAGAAAAAAAACCTAGCTATTACAAGGCGGCGCGAGCCGCAAACGAGAGAACAATGTCACGGTGCTGTAAAGAAACAGAGCTGGGGGATGCAGAAACCTGGCTGCAAGACACGGGGTGTCACACTTGTGCTGCTCAAAGTGCTGGAGAGGATTCAGGAGCAGTTCTACGGCGAGACTGTGGCACTGCCCTTCAAAGAAATAAGCCTGGGTCACCTGGAGAAAGTTCAACAGCAAGCAACAAAAATTGTTGGTGATCTAGAGAGCACGGTGTGTAAGAATGGACTCAAACAACGGGGGAAGGCTGAGATGCCAGTATTTAAGTACGTTAAGGGTCCTCTGCAAAGAAACAGAAACAACTTCTCATCCTTTCTATAGGAGGCAAGAAATAGTGGGCCAATTTTGAAGAGGTGATTCAAAATAAGACATAACAAAGTTCTCAAAATGCTACAGTAGTGAAAGAGTTTGACTGAAGAGGGTGTAGATGCTCCGTAACGTAAACCTGTAAAATTACACTCAATGAACATAAGCACCGGTGCTAGAAGAACTACTCCAACCCAACAGGGCTGCTTCTACATTGACGTTTTGGGGGATCTGTGCCCCAGGGCCTGTTTCCTCTCCAAGATACACCAAGGCTCCACTCTGTCCTTTCAGTCAGAGCGATCAAATCCTGACACTCACTCCCCTCTCCAAGAAGCCCTGAAATCTGCCACCTGTAACCCGCAACGAGAATAACCTGAGCAAACTGAGAACAATCGTGGCTCACAAAGCCAGTACTTACGCCGTTCTTCGCTGCCAGCAGCAGGTACTTGAGCCCTCTCTTCTCCTTAGGTTGCAGCCCCCTCATGTAGAACACCCCGAGATAAGCCTGTGCCTGCAACAAAACCACACGACACAAATCAGCCATGATTTTTTTTAATCACTCTAGTTCTTTTACTTATTTAGCAAGTTGCTCAAACGCCGGGGTTACTGCAGCAAGATGGGTGTGCTAAGTACCCTGCTCACTCAGAGCCTGCTGAGAGGAGGAGGGTCTGTCCTAGGAAAAGTCAGTCTTACACGGTATAAACACAAAAACCTCACTTTTCACGTATAGAACGCCACTATACAGAATCACAGAATCACAGAATCCTAGTGGTTGGAAGGGACCTCTGAGATCACCGAGTCCAACCACACAAAAAAAACCAAAACCAAAACAAACAAAAAAAAACACCAAAAAACAAAAAACAAAAAAAACCCCAAACAAATACAAAACACACCACACCAAACACCCACCAAAAACACCGCACCCACCAACTAAACCCCACACTCAACACCTCACCATAAACCAATAACCTTGGGCACTAGAGCATGCCCTGAAGAGCCATGTCTATACGTTTCTTAAATCCCTCCAGGGATGGTGACTCCACCACCTCCCTGGGCAGGCTGTTCCAGGGCCTGACCACCCTCTCAGTAAAGTAGTTCTTCCTAATATCTAATCTAAATCTCCCTTGCTGCAACTTCAGACCATTTCCTCTGGTCTTGTGGTTCGTCCTTTGGGAGAAGAGGCCAACACCTGCCTCTCTACACCCTCCTTTCAGGGAGTTGTAGAGGGCAATGAGGTCTCCCCTCAGCCTCCTCTTCTCCAAACTGAACATGCCCAGTTCCCTCAGCCTCTCCTCGTAGGACTTGTTCTCCAGACCCCTCACCAGCTTGGTGGCTCTCCTCTGGACACGCTCCAGCACTTCAATGTCTTTCCTGTAGTGAGGGGCCCAAAACTGAACACAGCACTCGAGGTGAGGCCTCACCAGTGCCCAGTACAGAGGCACGATGACTTCCCTACTCCTGCTGGCCACGCTATTCTTGATATGAGCCAGGATGCCATTGGCCTTCTTGGCCACCTGGGCACACTGCTGGCTCATGTTCAGCCTGCTGTCTACCAACACCCCCAGGTCCTTTTCTTCCGGGCAGCTTTCCAGCCACTCTTCCCCAAGTCTGTAGCGTTGCCTGGGGTTGTTGTGACCAAAATGCAGGACCCGGCACTTGGCCTTATTAAACCTCATCCCATTGTCCTTGGCCCATTGATCCAGTCTGTCCAGATCCCTCTGTAGAGCCTTCCGACCCTCAAGCAGTAACATCGCCATGCTAACACCTTCAGACCCAGAATATCGTTTCAGGCTGCACTGTGGAAGTCAGAGCCAGGGAACTGCTCCTACTGTCCCCAAGACAGAGCAGATGCACTTCCTGGAACAGCGTGCTACATGAAGTACAGTCACTGCCAGAACGACTGCCATCCGCAACACAAGATGGCACATGCCTAAATGCATCTCCTGAAGAGTGAGAAAGGAGGGCAGGGTACACAGATCCACGCGGATGAATCATCCCCAAAAGTCACAGATACAAAACGAGGATCTGTTCTTACTTCAAGCAACTCATGGAAGTTCCTCCACCAAAACAACCTGTCTTCTCGGAACTGAGAAGAGATGAAACACAGAGCTGTGTTTTCAACTGAGGGTCAGTTTTCCCAGGCCTATGGTCTAATCTAGGAACCACATTAAAAAGCCCAAGAGCAAAACAGAGAGCCAACACTGCTGACACAGAAGGTACCTAGTAGCCTCCCATGTGCAGGCAGGGCTGTCTCCCATACACTGTCAGTGTATATTTGTCACTTACCTGTATATATACAGGATCTGTTCTTACTTCAAGCAACTCATGGAAGTTCCTCCACCAAAACAACCTGTCTTCTCGGAACTGAGAAGAGATGAAACACAGAGCTGTGTTTTCAACTGAGGGTCAGTTTTCCCAGGCCTATGGTCTAATCTAGGAACCACATTAAAAAGCCCAAGAGCAAAACAGAGAGCCAACACTGCTGACACAAGCCTATGGTCTAATTTAGGAACCAGATTAAAAAGCCCAACAGCAAAACAGAGAGCCAACACTGCTGACACAGAAGGTACCTAGTAGCCTCCCATGTGCAGGCAGGGCTGTCTCCCATACACTGTCAGTGTATATTTGTCACTTACCTGTATATATACATATACATTGTCTTACATATTTGTCACTTACAAATATGTAAGAAGGATTTGGCTTCCAGTCATAGAATCCTAACATGGTTTGGGTTGGAAGGGACCTTAAAGACCATCCAGTTCCAACCCCCCTGCCCTGGGCAGGGACACCTCCCACCACACCAGGTTGCTCCAAGCCCCCTCCAACCTGCCCTTGAACCCCTCCAGGGATGGGGCAGCCACAGCTTCTCTGGGCAACCTGGGCCAGGCTCTCACCACCCTCACACCAAACAAGTTCTTCCCCAGATCTCATCTCCATCTCCCCTCTTTCAGTGTCAAACCCTTCCCCCTCCTCCTAGGGCTCCCCTCCCTGATCAAGAGTCCCTCCCCATCTCTCCTGCAGGCCCACAGATGCTGCTTTTGAGGATGTCTTGTGGGCTACAAAGATGATGAGGCGCCTGGAGCATCTCTCCTATAAGGAAAAGCTGAGGGACTTGGGTTTTTTTAGTCTGGAGAAGAGAAGGCTGAGGGGGGATCTGATCAACACCTATAAATACTTCAAGGGTGGGTGTCAGAGGATGGGGCCAGTCTTTTTTCAGTGGTGCCCAGTGACAGGACAAGAGGAAATGGGCACAAACTTGAACATAAGAAGCTCCATCTAAACATGTGGAGGAACTTCTTTCCTGTGAGGGTGGCAGAGCCCTGGCAGAGACTGCCCAGGGAGGTGGTGGAGTCTCCTTCTCTGGAGACATTCCAAACTCACCTGGACACGTTCCTGTGCAGCCTGCTCTGGGTGACCCTGCTTTGGCAGGGGGTTGGACTGGATGATCTCCAGAGGTCCCTTCCAACCCCGTATCATTCTGTGATTATGTGGTCCAAATCCTTCAGACAGGGTTCTCTGCCCGCTCCCTCCCCCACGCTGTGGACACGAACCTCTGCAATACCAGCTGTAGCTGCTTGCTCCAGGAAAGTCACTGCCTTCTGCTGCCTGTCCTGTTCATTTTCAGGTCTTTGGCACAAGAGATACCTCGCATAGCGGTACTGGGCCATGGGGTGATGGTTGCTGGCCGCCTGGTAGTAATAAAAAGCTGCCTGGAAAACAAGAAACACACTTGCATGATTAAGGTAATACATGCCCTCAAACCTGCCACGTCTCCCCGTTGGCCAGGACAAGCTTAACCTCTCTGTTTAGATCTATCATAAGCCACGCATGGTCACCCCAGCGGCTCTCCCACATCTCCCCGCTGAAAAACATGAGATCCTTTAAGTGGGGACAGGGGGCTGTGACGATAGGAGAGCCCTCTAAGCACCCTGCCTCCCTGAATTTCACTGAATTTTTTAGAGTTGGAAGGGACCATAGAGATCATCTAGTCCAACTCCCCTGCTGAAGCAGGATTGCCTAGAGCTACAGCATGTTACTCAGGAGCATCCAGGTGGGGCTTGAAGATCTCCAAGGAAGGGGACTCCACACCCTCCCTGGGCAGCCTGTTCCAGGGCTCTGGCACCCTCACCGTGAAGAAGTTTCTCCTCATATTTGAGTGGAACCTCTTCTGTTCCAACTTGTGCCCGTTGCCCCTCGTCCTCTCACTGGCAACCACTGAAAAGAGTCTGGCTCCCTCCTCCTTCAACCCTCCCTTGAGATACTTGTCAGCATTGATAAGGTCTCCCCTCAGCCCCTAGTCAAAGCTCCCCGTGTGGAAGGGGGGTGGCACTGGGCCAAGGGGGGTCTGCACAATGACTCAGTTTGAGTCACTGACTCAAGCCATTGGAATGGGCTGCCCAGGGAGGTGGTTGAGGCCCCATCCCTGGAGGTGTTCAAAAGACGGGTTGATGTAGTGCTGGGAGGTATGGTTTAGTGATGGTGTTGCTTTTTGTTTGTTGTGTGGGTGTCTATTTTTGTCAGTGAGGTTGACGGTTGGACAAGATGATCTTTAAGGTCCCTTCCAACCTAGAAGATTCTGTGATTCTGTGACTCCAAACAAGCCGCCTTTGCAGCTCTTTGCAGCTCCAGAAGATGCTGACTACGGCCGGCACGCACTAGGTGGCAGCTCTAGTTAAGGAACCCAAACTGGACGGCTTGAGATGTAAAGAAGCCCTCGGATGCGCAACGGTGTTTTAAATACAGTAACATGACAGGTTTCTCCTCAGTACTCTCCTGGGTGCCGGTGGCACAGGCTGTGTACCTACGAGAAGAACTCAGAAGCCATCAGAAAGGGGATTTGAGGAGCACATCTCTGAGGGCATCTACGACACCGAAGCCGATACTGCGATTTATACTATTTCCAGCATTTTCTAACAAGACTTCAGCCTGTCACACCCATGCAAAAGGATAAAAGCGCTTGTGCACCCACCAAAGGCCCCTCTCCTGGTCTGTACCGCACACATACAACCTGACAAGCCGTGGATACCTTTTCCAAGTCTTTTTCTGTGCCTCTGCCATGCTCGTAACACAGACCCACGTTGAACTGGGCTTTGCTGTAGCCTCGATCCGCTGCCAGTTTGAAGCAGGTATAGGCTACCCTGTAATGTCCTGCTCTCATGCTTTCAACCCCTGTGAAGAACACAAGAACATCAAAACAGGAGAAAAGAAAACGGGCAGAACGCAGCCTCAAATGCAGCAACCTCCCCTTGGGCTACTGGCCCTTCCCTGGCCCGTGCTGAGCCAGCTTCTGGCTGGCTCAACCAACCCTCACTCCGCAGGAGCAAAGTTTCTTTAAGAAAACTGGCAACGCTGCATTTTAGGCATTTTTCTAGTCTCATTGCAAAGAAGGATCACGGGCTAACACAGCGTATGGCTGGCGCAGACGCAGCTCGCTTTTTTAGCGCTGCAACTAGTGGTGTATATAGGGCAGGGATTTTTTTTTTTATTTTTTTTTTCTTAGATCATTGCATCTTCCTTCAGCTCTTCTAAGAGCTGCAATTCTGCAATTGCCTTTTCAGCTTGCGAGGAAGACTTGAGATCTCAGACAATGAAACAGGATACAATGATATGACAGCTCCTGTTGCAAAAAAGACAGAGATGGCTTAATTTCCAACTACAGATGTCAGGACAACAGTGCAGGCTTCAACCAAGCCTGGATTTAAATATGCTGATATAAATCAGGTGGCAGGATGGGACAAAGGGCAATAAATCTCTCAAAGCACAGTTGAAATTGCTGAAAGGAGGCTTCAGCTTGGGCAGACGCCATCTCTGCCTTCACACAAGACCTGCAACCATTTGGAGGTCCTCCAAAAAGAGAAAACGTGTGGTTTAAGGACAAAACAAATCCAAGCCCACATTACCGAGGATATTCAACGCAATGGAAATGTCAATCCGGAAAATCTGCTGCAATTGGAAAGCAGCTTCCTCTAAACGTCCTCGCGGAGCTGGGTCACCCTGAGGAGTTAAAGAAGAAAGCTGTTAAGGCAGCAAAAACATACAAACCCTATAGGAGATTCTTTCTTGGAAACTGAGCAGTGAAACGCATTCGTACTGTACAAGAGTTATCCAGAAGGTGATGTAATCTGGTGTCGTGAGCCCACAAAAAAATCTGCCTGTCCTACACAGCCATCTCCTTAGGGAAGCTGTAGGGACATTGCTCACTTCCCCCCAGGCCAGGGAGCTTGGTGCAGCCTCTCAGGTACCATCAGACCTTCCAGAATTGAGCAAATCACAGAATCACAGAATCTTAGTGGTTGGAAGGGACCTCTGAGATCATCGAGTCCAACCACAAAAAAAACCAACAAACAAACAAACAAACAAACAAACAAAAAACAAAAAAACAAAGCCATCAAACAAAAAAACCCACCACACCAAACGCCCACCAAAAACACCGCCTCAACCAACTAAACCCCACACTCAACACCTCACCATAAACCAATACCCTTGGGCACTAGAGCATGCCCTGAAGAGCCATGTCTATACGTTTCTTAAATCCCTCCAGGGATGGTGACTCCACCGCCTCCCTGGGCAGGCTCTTCCAGTGCCTGACCACCCTCTCAGTAAAGTAGTTCTTTCTAATATCTAATCTAAATCTCCCTTGCCCCAACTTCAGACCATTTCCTCTGGTCTTGTCGTTCGTCCTTTGGGAGAAGAGGCCAACCCCTGCCTCTCTACACCCTCCTTTCAGGTAGTTGTAGAGGGCAATGAGGCCTCCCCTCAGCCTCCTCTTCTCCAAACTCAACATGCCCAGTTCCCTCAGCCTCTCCTCATAGGACTTGTTCTCCAGCCCCCTCCCCAGCTTGGTGGCTCTCCTCTGGACACGCTCCCCCAGCCCCTCAATGTCTTTCCTGTAGTGAGGGGCCCAAAACTGAACACAGTACTCGAGGTGAGGCCTCACCAGTGCCCAGTACAGAGGCACGATGACTTCCCCACTCCTGTTGGCCACGCTATTCTTGATACGAGCCAGGATGTCATTGGCCCTCTTGGCCACCTGGGCACACTGCTGGCTCATGTTAAGCCTGCTGTCTACCAACACCCCCAGGTCCTTTTCTTCCGGGCAGCAAATACCCGAGAGCACTCACAACTTGCCCCCTTCAAAAGGAACATCAGCCCTTGTTCACTCTCCTGCCCCGTGTCAGCACCACAAACAGCCTCTGCCAAACGTGCACTGACGTATTTGTACACACCTGACACAGTTCGAGCTGAGCCCACACCGTGAGCTTACCGAACACCGCACGCTCCCAGTAAAATCCAGCACAGCACACAATGTCTTTTCTTTCTTGGTAATGAACAGTATTTTTCAGTTTCCCACAGCTCTGGGAGGCGGATCAGCCCGGCCTGCAGCTCTGTCCCCAGCTTGCCTACACAGGCAGTGCCATCGAGTGGCAGCAGAACACACTGCACAGCAGCCTCCAGGAAGCCACCCGCCAGAAACGCCCCTTCCCACCAGCTATCTTCACTGCTCAGCCAGCTCTCAGAGCTGCTCCTCAGAGGACAAGATGTGGACCAACTCCCCTCCTCCTCCAAGGACCTCCTGAGAACTGCTCCGCTACCGACAAATGATACCAAACTGGGAGGGGTGGCTGACACCCCGGAGGGCCGTGCTGCCATCCAGCGAGACTTGGACAGGCTGGAGGGCTGGGCAAGGAAGAACCTCATGAGGTTCAACAGGGAAAAGTCTAGGGTCCTGCACCTGGGGAAGACGAATGTCAGGCCCCAGTACCCGTTAGGGGTGGACCTCCTGGAGGCAAC